GGGGAGGAGGGGGGAGACATGTCCCCGGTCCACTCGCTCCAGGCAGCGCCCCACGCGTGGGTGGGTGGGTGGGGGCTCTCCCAGCCCCCACGCACGGTCTCCGCGGCGCATCCGGCACATCGCAAGGATGTCCCGGTCCGTGAGGAGGCCCGCAGCTCCCCACTCACCCCCCGCGTGTCCGCCTCCCCGCGTGGGTATAGTTATACAAAGCCTGCCGGGTTGCTTTTGCCCTCGAACGGGTACGACTCCGCGGCCGCGCCTTTTTTTTTTTTTAGAGTAAAATAACAATAAACCCCCTCCCCGCGGGTGCGTGTCCTTCGCATTCGCTGTCCTCCCCCGCAGTCTTCACACCGCGCGGGTCCGCTACACAGCCCCGGCACTCCGCGCCCCCCCCCCCCCCCGTGCCGCGGGCACCCACCCGCGCCCGGCAGCGCGGCTGCGGCTCTGCTCCGCGATCCGCCGCACGGCCCCACGGCCGAGGGGGTCCCCCGTGCCCAGCGGTGTGTCCCCCCGCAGCCGCCCCGAGGGCTGCCCCCTTTGCAGCGCCTGGGACAAGCGGTCAGAGGCTGCGGGTGGCGGATCTTTGGTGGCGCACGGAATTAAAAAAAAAAAAAAAAGTATTAAAGCGCTTTTATGACAAGGTATTTTTGTATTGCTGGGAACTATTTTTTTGCTTACAGTGATTCACTGGGAGGCTCGCCGGTACATCTGAGTATTAGTTCACACATCTCTGCAGAGGGCTGGGAACCTTTACATAAGCTGCCAGTTTTCCTTCGACCTCAGGGTTTTTTTCTTTGGCATCCCTAACTGTGGCGCATTCAAGAGAAGAGTTTTTATTCTCCGTTTTCGGGCTCTGTATTGGGGAGCGAGCGGGGAAAGGCATGAGAAGGCAAAAATTGGTTCTAGACCAAGCGGTCCCTCCGCGGTGACCTTGTGCTGGATGTCTTTTTGCTGCTTTTGTAAAAAAAAAAAGCTACTGGTCGTGACAGGCCAAAACGTCCGTCCCAGCACTGCCCCGCTGCTTTTTACAATTTGGCAAAGGTCTGAACTGCTCTTCGGTTTCCTCACCACCACCCTCCTGCCCGGTTTTTAATTCCTCCTGAAGTACCGCTCTTCGCAATGACCACGGGATCGCTTCTTGAAAACGAAATAAATTAAAAAAAAAAAACCAACAACATGCAGCGATTTAGGTAGATGATATCCATACATGTCTAATCCACCAGTTCCAGACTAACGTTCTGTACCTCCGTTTAACGGGAATGTCAAGCGTTTTGTCCGTGCAGGTACGGAAAGACCCGTCCCCCCTCTGCCAGTCTCACGTCTCGTCCGCGCTCACTACAGCTTCGTTAAATTGAAAACGGCAGCTCCGGCAGTAAATAACCGCGTCCCACCGGCAGCCGCCAACAAAGCAAACGGCAAGGTGGGGTTTTGCTTTTGCTCCCCGGCACGTCCGAGAAAGCCTCGGCCCGGTTCTACCGGCTAGCGGAGCGGCAGCACCGGCAGGGGAAAAAGGCCGGTGGCTCGCCGGGGCCAGCGGGCGGTCGCCCTGCTTGCCAGGGGCCGGGGAGGGGAGCGCGGACCCGGGAGCCTGCCGGGGCAGCCTGTCCCACCGCCTCTCGGGAAGCGGACAGTGTTACCCTACGCCGCTACTACGGGAAGTAACGGGATAGTAATGGCAGCGCTGAGCGGTGGGGGCTGCCCGGGCGTGCGCCCCGTCGGAAGGAGCGGGGCGGGGGGGGGGTGTCAGGCGGGCAGGGAGAGGAGAGCGGGCCCAGCTCCTG